AAAAAAAGTTTATCAGGCCCCAGTGCCCAAGGCAATCATACACTGTGGAAAACGTTCCAGATTCAGGAGCCCGCTAGGTCTCCAATCCTTCTCTGTGAGGTGGAGCCCCTCCCCTGTAGCAATACTCCTATACAGACTCAAATATAAGAAGCCTAAATTCATCTGCAAGTAATGGGAGTCTTAAGTAATACCCACAGAAAAATTACCTCCAAAAATACAAGCCCTACCATACCACCGTTTGACGAACAAAAGATTGTCTGCCACAGTTTCACAGTCTACATTATTAGTTAGTGGTAACTTAGTACTTATTCAAAGCAGGACACTTTCTATCAATCTTTCTATCAATCACCTGAAGAGTTTACTAAACACAATGAAGTTCAATGAACACTTGACAAATTACAATGAAGAAGACATAGTTAATGAGTTAATGAGTTAATGAGTTAATGAGTTAATGTTCCGCTGCCGAGTCCCTTCAAGTTGTGTGTTGACTTCCATTATGCTGGTGTCTGCAAGAGAAAGGTCCAAAGACTCCAAACCGGAACTTTCCAGTACACGTATCTATAGACTATAGTGACGAAGGAGGAGGGGCGGACCGCCCAATGCTTCTGAAACGATGACACACGAGCACGGAAAGTCATCGGCTTTCCAAGTCTCTGTTTGCAGTCGAGGTAGATGATATGGCGCAAGTCGTTTTTTATCATATTGAGCACATGGTGTGAAGAGGGCAATTCGTGTGACAGTATTACTTCATTTCTTTGTCTCCATAGGTGGCAAAGCACCGTGGCACTAAGTGTTTCGTAGACACACGCGCAGGATTTGGAAAGCCCGAGTAGCATACTTGCAAGCAGACCGACCGGACGAGCGTCCGGTCCGGTCCGCTTTGCCGTGTGCGGCACCCTCCCCCCGGACCAGACGGACCCGGACCGGACCGGACAGGGCCATTTTTTTTTTTTTTGGGGGGTGGGGCATAACTGGTCGTCGGGCGCACATTCGTGCGCCGCACGGGTCTCTTTAAAATGTGCCTAGCATTTTTGCATGAAAAGTTGAAAACCATATAGGATGTTGGTGGTTCCACAAGGTGTGTGCGGTACTGAGCATGCTTTGCAGAAGGGCGTGCCCTGTTTTCGACAACGATACCGAAAAGCAGCTGTTGGAATGGCGTTGTGCAGGATTTGCCAAAGCAGGGCGGGCCAGGATGTTTTGCGACCCGCAATGAAGGGCGCAGTCGCCGGAACACCGTTATCCTATCAGTCTGCAGACTCTGCACTGCAGAGTGTATCCAAGTACTCGCCATTTTTGAACAATACCCCAATCAACATCCACTTCCGGTAGAAACGTCAAATATGCAAGTCTGGCAGAGTGTTGTTGTAGCAGAGAGAGTTATTGCATTGTCCGGCTTTCGTGGATCTACCGAATACCAATCTCTGCGGTCCAGCTTCAGGTCCTTAGAGGCTGTTCGAGTCCTGTAGGGAAAGTAGGTGGTAGCCTCAGGGTCGCATCGGAATTCTTTACCAAATTTAAAATAAAATAAAAAATAAAATGAGAAGAATTCAAAAAATAATAAAATATATATTTTATTATTTTTTAATTGTTTTGCTTATTTTTTCAGGCCCGGCCAGGCAACTGGTCCCGGGCCACTCTTGTAGCCTAATTTTGGTGTGTGTGTGTGTGTGTGTGTGTGTGTGTGTGTGTGTGTGTGTGTGTGTGAGAGAGAGAGAGAGAGAGAGAGAGAGAGAGAGAGAGAGAGAATAGGACGTGTGGTCATTGTCCCGGATCTACCCAATTGATTTGCACCAAATTTTGGTCCAGATGCAGCGATAATGACCACACGACGCACACGTCCTATTCCGCGAAGGATGGTAGCACGAGTTTGCCCGAAGGCACTTGATTTTTTTGTTTTATTTTTGAACACTTGATTGATACTGTGATTGTGACTGGCGGCATATTTATTTTTTTTATTTTTTTTTGGTCGCAGTCCAAAGCGGGAAGTGGGGGGAGGCGAAACTCAAAGCGGGACACTGTTAGCTCAAGGACTGATGACGAGGCAAACAAATCGGCGGAAAACTCGCCGCGAGAGTCGATTGCAGCAAAGACGCCGTTACGGAGTGAGGGGAGCAGCAGTTCTCAATTTACCGAGGGTCCGACACCGAAGAAAAAAAAAAAAAAATGGTGGTCCCTTTGGCAGCATGAGGTCCCTGAGGATGGAGAGGGGTATTCAACGAGCCTTCAGGAGGTGCGCTCATTCTCCTCTAGTCACCACCTTTCCCTTCCCCCCCCCCCCCCTTCTTTTAAATAATGGGTGTGGTCCTTGCTGCAGGAGCCGTGCTCATCTTCTCTCTTTTTCTTTTTTGTTTTTAAGCAACGGGGGGACGACCTTGAGATATCGTTGTGAAACTGACCAGGGGCCAAGGCCCAGCAAAGTCCCAGTAGAAGCTTGGAGTTTCCTCAACGCCTGAATCTGGACGTGTTTGTGGAGATGTGGTGCAGAAATCGTGTCTGTCGAGTTTCCTCAGCCGCACATCTCCACAAACACGTCCAGATTCAGGCGTTGAGGAAACTCAAAGCTGCTTCTGGGACTTGGAACCAGCCCTAGGTAATCCAGGAGTTTGGTTCATCAGGTTCCATCTGGATCTAATAACTCACTCCCAATAAAAATAAATAAAAAAATCACATCTGCATTTCAGAAGCTTATCAGTGTACCCAACTGAGCTAAGCCCATTGGTATGCTAATTGTCTCTTGTTTGTTTGTTAAACTTTGTTTGTTTGTTTGTTTGTTTGTTTNNTTTTTTTTTTTTTTTTTTTTTTTTTTTTTTGTGTGTGTGTGTGTGTGTGTGTGTGTGTGTGTGTGTGTGACATTGGTGTACAAGGCCTCCCACTAGCAAAGAGGTTTGGACTGAATGCCTGCATCTGGACGTTTTTTGTGGAGAGGTTCGCAAAATAAGCGGATTTGAAGCTTGAACTTCCTTGAAGTGCATTTCTGCATCTGTGCATAAATCACATCCGGATTCAGGAGTTTTATCCAATTCTTGTTTTCTGCTGGTGGGACCTCGGCCCTGGGGACTGCAGCAGTTCTTCGTCTTCCTCTTCTTCGTTTTCTTTCTTTTTTTTTTTTTGACTTTTTTGTTCTTTATGCCTTGCGATTATGGCCGTCGCTCCACTACTCACCCAACACATGCAGAAAAGACAAAAATATGGCCGCGTGACGGCGTCCATGTTTCAGCAGAAGACTCATTCTCATTTTGCACATTCGGTGACAATGCTGGAGCAACGCCCTATCCTATGGCTTTACGCCTTTTTCTCCCCCTTTTTTTATTAAATAATAAAATTTTGGACCATTTCTCGATTTGTGTGTGGCATCCTTGCGCAGAGGCCATGCCAATCTTGTCTCTCTGTATCGTCGCCCAATTCCAATGGATGTCCGGAAGGACTGTTCTGATGACCGTCTGAAAAACTGAAAAAAGCTAGGCTACCAGCCGGGCCGCCCGGGTCCTGGTGGCCAGCCCGTGCAAGGACAAAGGCTTATACACATCTAGATGTGTATAAGAGACAGGACCTAGGCTACCAGTCGGCCCGCCTGGGGTCCTGGTGGCCAGCCCGTGCAAGGACAAAGGAAGGTCCCAGAAAAAAAAAAAAAAAAAAAAAAAAAACCGAAAAAAAAACTATGTTATGCAGAAAACTAAACTGAACAACTTTTGCCTCAGGGTCACATCGAAATTCTGCACCAAATTTAGATTTTTTTTTTTTTTTAAATATTATTTTTTTAATTGTTTTTGGCCCGGCCGGGCAAGTGACCCCGGGCCACTCTGGTAGCCTAGTAAAAAAGCAAAAAAGTGTGTGTGAATGAACTGTGTATGCAGCGAGTCGCGTGGCCTATGTGTCTGCAGAATCAACAGCTCCTGCGTTTACAGCTTCAAATCCTGATCGGTGAGCAGACGGATAGAATATGGTGGGGCTACCGGGCCGCTACCAGGACTTCTGACCGAGCCTCTCTTTTTCTTGCATCGATTTCTGCTGCGCGTCGATCAACAACCAAACCGGCTATCGTGCCCTTTTCACTTTTTTGCCTCGCGCGGGCTAGTGGCCAACATAACAATTAGAACGCCGTGAGACAGTTCGGTGGTTCCTATCTACTGCTAATGTGATTTGAAGAGCACTGCGACAGTCCATCCCTACCCTACCTTCTTCCCCCGAATATAACGTACGGTCATTATAGCTGCATTTGAGGCATCTTTCTGTCTAGATACACCTATAATGATCGTACATTGTATTCGGGGGAAGAAGGTAGTACGAGAGGACTGGGATGGGTGAACCTATGGTATGGTGAACCAGATGTGATGCCAGTGGCATTGCGGTGCAGCGACGTTGGTATGGGAGAACTGCGGAAAGTAGGTACATTGGTATGGGAGAACCGCGGAAAGTAGCTACGTTGGTATGGGAGAACCGCGGAAAGCATATAAGCGGGAAACCCCTCTTGAAAAAAGTTATCATACAAATTAATGAAAGACCGCTTGTCATTTTGGTCTGGTAGGACACAGCCCTGAAGCTCACGGCGTGTTTACGGCCACGGCCACGTCGGAACAAGATGGCTGGGAAAGGTACTGGTGGTTCTAAAGAAGAAGAAGAAGATGAAGAAGAAGAAGAAGAAGAAGACGAAGAAGAAGAAGAAGAAGGAAAACTGTATACATATGACACTATATTAAGGTGGATTAGAATCCGATGATTATCATTTACTGTATCATGATCGGTTATGGGAATCGGCAGACTGTCGAGGAGGGTTCAGCATTCCTATGGTGAACTGGTTAAACTCTGAGGAAACAGTCTCTCGCGTCACAGCCCCGGTTTTTCTTGTCCTTTCTGCCTACAGATCACCCATTGCCGCGTCTGTCTCCTCTCCTCTCTCTCTATGGCGATATATAGGGCATGGCCACACCACTCTCGAAATGTGCAAAATGCGAATGAACTTCCCGCTAGAACATGGCCAGATGTGCCCGCCACATTTTTGTCTTTCTCAGATTTCGAGAGTGGTGTGGCGAGGCCCATACTGTCACATATCTACCAACGAAAAGAGCGCACTTCGCAAAACAAGCGAAGAAAGTGGCAGGCCATTCGAGGACGCGGAAACCGTTCTTTTGCATTTTCCTGTGCACTTCTTTCGCCTTTTCCTGTGCAGTTCATTCTTTCTTTGCCTTGCAGCCTTGCCTTGTCCAGTGCTGTTCTTTTGTTTCTTTCCTCACTTCGACTTTTTTTCCGCGGTTCCCAGGGTTGTCAGACCGCCTACGGCCGACGCTGACGCCAACCGTAGGCCGTTGGCTCGCCTGCCAGTCAGGCCGACCCGTAGGCGGACCGGTCGGCAGTCAGTAGAGGCCCATCCACTATTTATTTTTTTTTTCAAATCTGAGTCCGGGGCTGTACTGCGCTTGCCGAGTACAGCCCAAATCCACTGAGAAACTTTTGGGGATTTGGGGGGGGGGGGATATGGGGGTTATGGGGGAGGTATAGGGGGGGGGCATAGGGGGGTTATAGGGGGGTTGTTGGGGGTTAAGGGGGGGATATGAGGGTGTTGGGGGCGGGTATGGGGATGTCGATGGGGTTATTTGGGGCTCTGGATTCACGGGGTGCCGACCGACCCCCGATTGGTAGGTGCCAACCAGTGGAATGGTCGGCTGGTCGGCCCCTGACCAATCCAGGAGCGCCGACCGTCAGCGCGACTACTCTTGGCGGTTCCTATTTGATTTCTTCTTCCCCCCCTTAAGGTGCCTCTCATGCACAAGCCTCGCCACGTCTATGTAGTTAAGCTCGATCTTCTCACATCCCAGTGTGGCATAATGGCCCACTTGCACGCTATGAAAAAGAGGCAAAGTAAAGGGAGAGGTGACAAAGAGAGAGGAAAGATGGAAGGGAGAGAAAGCAAAGGAAGACAAGGGAAAAGCAAAGGTAAAGCAAAGATAGAGTAAGGTTACCCCTACCGTCTTCACCCGAATAGAAAGCTTGGTCATCATCGCTGTACCTGGTCTGAAAGTTGCACAACATACAGGCATAATGACCGGGCGTTCTATTCGGGTGGAGACGGTAGCACTGGGAATAATAAAAGAAGACTCAGAAGTCAGTGTGCTGCTCCCCACGAATAGATTGGAGCATTTTGTCCCCCCCCAAAAAAAAAAGAAAAAAGAAAAAAAAAAGTGTGTCCTTGACAACAGAGAGGACACGAACGGTACGGACGAGGTGGGTTATGGCCAGGAAGGCCTAGATGAGCATTTTTCTATTTTTAGCACAACAGTTTCCACGACAGCCGGCATTAAGCATGCCCACACAACACCCCCAGCAAATGAGCATGCTTGTCACAGCCTAGTGGGAAGGAAGGCCGAGCATTACAGAGAACAATGTGTTCTTTATAATGTGGCTGGCCGCAACATGGACGTATGATTTCCGGATGTGAAGGGTACATGCAATCAGGAATGCAAATGGTACGGATGAGGTGGGTTATGCTAAGGAAGACCTGGCTGAGCATTCTATTTTTAGCAGAACAGTTTCCACGACGGATGGCATTAAGCATGCCCACAAAGCACCCCCGACAAATGGCATGCTCAGCGCAGCCTAATGGGAAGGAAGGCCGAGCATCACAGAGAACAATGTGTTCTTTATAATGTCGCTGGCCTTAACATGGACATGTGATTTCTGGATGCGAAGGGTGCTGGTCGTTCAAAACCAGGCTCGGGGGTACTGGGTGTTCAAAAACAGTCAGACATCTATCATGTCCTTACATGGTTTTACTCACCCAACACTTCCCCCCGTTATGGCGCCGAGATCTTGTTACAATGGCATTGATTGCAGTCCAATTCATCATCTGAGTTCCAACGGGATTCTATATTTACCACTCATGAGCTACTGTGCTCTCTCTCTCTCTCTCTCTCTCTCTCTCTCTCTCTCTCTCTCTCTCTCTCTCT